AGCCTGCTTCCCCCTCTGACCCTCCCCCCTCTCATGCTCTCTCTATCTCATTCTCTCTCTCAAATAAATAAATAAAATCTTAAAAAAAAAAAAAAGTGTGATCTTTTCAGAAATCAATCCCAAACAAAAAGAACAAGAAACCAAACACACATAACCCATTTTCAATAAAACTAGGAAATGCATCTCACTCCACACCTCAAAAGTGAAGAAAACAGAGTGGGATAAAGCAATGGTACATGACTCAGTGGAGTAGAATATGATCAAATCTAAATGCCTGCACAGAGAACTCAAAAGAAGCTGATTCCATAGAACCTTAGTAGGTTCAAAAACTGGAGACAAAAATAAAAAGCAAGAAAGGAAAAAAAAAAAAGTCATTAGGGACTGGAGAAGGCGGAAGGTGGAGGACTAAAAACAGGTATATTACTAGCACTTAGAAAGGTGTACTCTCCAAAAAAAAAAAAAAAAAAAAAAGTGAAGGATCAGATACAGAGTGAAGTGCTAAAGTAAAAACTTGACTTCAGTGAAGGTCTGCATGTTGAAAGGTTAAGATCTTCATCTCTTCTCTCCCATCCAGGTCCAGGATGCTTTTTCTAGGTAAAAGAATAGAGGATCTTTCTCAGCACCAACTGACTACAGACAATGATATTTGGAGGTTCTCAGTCAATTGCCAGCTAACCACATGACTGTCCTAAACAGATGGAACTTCTGATCAGCTTTTCAGAGTTCTACTCTTAAATATGAACAATCAGTGAAGGACACCAGGCATCTAAAGAAGGCCTTTCACATGGAAGAAAGAGACTAAATCAAACTCAAAGAAAATAGGAACTTAGAAAAGAGATACAATGCATAGAACAAAAAAATATTTCAAAGAATTATCATTAATACCCTCAGAGGAATAAGATAATGTACTCATAAAATAGGTTGCTATAAAAAGAAAAAATGAGGGGTGCCTGGGTGGCTCAGTTGGTTAAGCATCTGCCTTCGGCTCGGGTTATGATCTCAGGGACCTGGGATTGAGCCCCACGTCAGGCTCCCTGCTCAGCGGGCAGTGTGCTTCTCCCTCTCCCTCTGATCCTCCTCCCCACTTGCGCTCTGTCTCAAATAAATAAAAAATCTTTTAAAAAAATGAATAAATAAAAGAAAAAGAAAAAAATGACAAAGCTCTGGAGAACGACAAATATGATAGCTTAAAAAAACAGTAAAAGGATTAGAAAATAAATTTCTAGAAAAATCTCAGAGAGTAAACAAAAAGACAAAGAAATGGACAAATGGAAAAGATAAGAAAAATAGATGATCAGTCCAGGAGGTCCAATATCCAACTAACTACAAATCCAAAAGAGAAAACTTCCCCCTCTCCAAGTAGAGGGGGAAATTATCAGAGACCATATAAGAAAACCTCCTAGAGCTGAAGGATTAGAACTTTTAAGATTGGAACTTTTAAGATTGAAAGAGTAAAAATAAAGAAAATAATAAGGATCAAAGCAAGATAAACACACCACTGTAAAAAATTTAGAATAACAGAAATCAAAAGAAAATTTTAGATATCTTTAAAGAAAAATAGATCTCTAGGGACGCCTGGGTGGCTCAGTCCGGTAAGTGTATGCCTTTGGCTCAGGTCATGATCCCGAGGTCCTGGGATCGAGTCCCACATCTGGCTCCTTGCTCAGCAAAGAGTCTGCTTCTTCCTCTGTCTGCTGCTCCCCATACTTGTGCTCTCTCTCTCTCCCTCTCTCTCTCCCTGACAAATAAAATCTTTTTTTTAAAAAAGTTAAAATAAATAAGTAAGAAAGAAAGAAAGATCTCTAAAGAAAGGGGAATCAGGGGGCGCCTGGGTGGCTCAGTCAGTTAAGCACCTGCCTTTGGCTCAGGTCATGATCCCAGAATCCTGGGATCAAGCCCCACATCGGGCTCCCTGCTCAACAGGGAGTTGGCTTCTCCCTCTCCCTTTCCCTCTGCTGGGTCTCACTCACTCTCTCTCAAATGAGTAAGTTTTAAAAATCTTTAGGAAACAGGGGTGCCTGGGTGGCTCAGTCGTTAAGTGTCTGCCTTCAGCTCGGGTCATATTCTCAGGGTCCTGGGATCAAGTCCCGCATCGGGATCCCTCTCCCACTCCCCCTGCTTGTGTTTCCCTCTCTCACTGTGTCTCTGTCAAATAAATAAATAAAATCTAAAAAAAAAAAAAAAAAAGCTTTAGGAAAGAATAAAAAGAAATGGGAATCAGTATGGCAAGGGACTCCTTAATAGAAACACTTAAGGCTAAATGAAAATAAAGCAAACTCCTGGGTGAAAATGATTTTCAACTCCAAAACCACACTCAAACAATCAAACAAGCATAAGGGTCTAATAGGGAAATTTTCAAATATGCAATATTTCCCCAAAAATTTACCTTCATGTACCCTTTCTCAGGAAGCCACTGGTAGATGGTCACCAAAAAAGGGAACAAGGGCATAAACTAAGATAAAGGAATATATGGAATCCAGGAACAAAGAATTCAACACTGATGGGCCAAGGGGATTCCAAGGATTGTGGTGAAAGTCCAGTAATGGCAGCTATGCCTCAAGAGCTACCAGTACAGACAGGAATAGGGGGACAGAAGGTTCTGACGGGATTCCACAGGAAAATAAATGGAACTGATAGACTACTTAATAAGTGGGACCATAGAAAACTGGCCTGAACAGAGTTGTTGGAAGATATGAGAAGACAATAGACTCAAAGAAAACAAAGCAAAATGAGAGGATGGGGAAAAGGGAGGAAGAAGTGAAAGAGAGTAGAGTGGAAGTCAATACATAATTCTAAAACTGCTATATTAAGTGACAGCAGAACATGCTTATTACTTAGAAATATGGAGACCAGAACAAAGAGCTAAAAGAGTTACTTCAGAGGAGAATTAAAAGAGCTCTCCTTTCCACATTCACCAAGCAGAAAACAGGAATACCAATAATGAAACATATCTCACATTCTAAGAGGACTTGTCATATTGTGTTAGAAATACATTTTCTTGACTGAGAATTTTAGGCCAAAATGTGGATTTTATAGCAATTAACAATAAAGCTGGGCAGGGGCGCTTTGCTGGCTCAGTCAGTAGAGCATGCAATTCTTGATCTCAGGGTCGTGGAGTTCACCCCCTATGTTGGGCGTGGAGCCTACTTAAAAAAAAAAAAAAAAAGGAAAAAGGAACAAAGAGGAGGGAAGGAATCACCTTTTTAAGCACCTTCATGGCAAATATTTTCCCAGTATTTGCTCCTGTTACTTTTCGTACTTGAAAAACCTGGATAAAAAATAAAAGTGTTTGTTATTAAAAGCTAAACTATGCTAGTCACACTCCCTTAATTCCTATTTATAGAAAACAGATGATACATAGTTTATATTCTTATAAAAACCAGTAACACAAAGACTGTGCAAAAATGATGACCTCAAAGAGCAGACTATATTAAAGATTTAGTAATAAAATCTGTTAAACATGGGACTGTCCTATTTGGTCTGCTGACATCTGGTGGCAAAGTTGGTCAGTGACCATTCAATAATGAGCACTCTATATAACTTCATACACAAAATCCAAGTTTTCTTGGAAAAAGCTATAATCAGGGTTTCCAGAAGCAGAATACCAAAAGTAAAAATTATAAAATATTTTTAAGTTTCTTCCAGGAATGCCACTGTTCTTGCTTCACATAAAACTTTAATAATAGTTGACAGGAATTACTTTTTACCTATTCCTTAAAAAGGCTAACTATATAAAACATCATGCAATAGCTAAAATAATGTGAGACTCAAAGTAAATGTGTTCCACATTCGAGATGATTAGAACACATCAGAATGTGTCCTTAAGCCTGAGAAGAACCTACAAATGTCATGCTATGAAAAAATTAACACTACACAGTAGCATAAATAGTTCTTAAACTTAATCCTAACTACTAAAATGTTATCCAAATTCTATGTTTTGATAAAGAATAGCTAGGTATAAATTTTCTTGGGCAGAATACACAAAGGTAAGGTCACAAATTAGAAAGACTTGGGCAAAATATGAAGCTAAGAAGTTCTCTTCATTTTTCTTCTCCCTTCTTATATTTTTCAGCTTCCCTAACTCTAATGCTCCAAATACTGCAAGTCAAAGAAAACCAATTCAGATTTAGATCTCAGTAATAGTAACAATTTAATGGCCATGCCTCCTAAAAGTAAGGAGTGGTTTGTTTTTTAAGAGGATACCTATAGAGGATTCCATTTAACTAAAAGAAGGAAGGATTCCTCTAATAATAGACTTTGCCTGGCACAGTTGCCTATTTATTTATTCAACAAATACTGACTGAGTGCCTATTATGTGTCAGTCTTTTATGTGTATGTTGGTAGGAAGAGAACTTCTGTACATCCCTCAAATAATACCAGGTTAAGTGATCATATCCTTTGCTGATAGCTAGTAAACAAAGATTGAAGAGGACTGCTAAACCAGGATCTAAAAATTAACCTACCCAAGACAGACAACAGCTCTTATTTCAAAAATACTTCCTACCTTTCCATAGCCCCCTTTTCCAAGTACCCGAAGTAGCTCAAAACATTCTGGTCTGATTTTTTCTGGCCCTCTGTTCACACTAGTTTCCGAAATTTCAAATTTCTCACAATGTTCCATGCCACTGTGGAGAAAAGTAAAACCAAAAGTAAATTCTCAAAAAGTTAAATTATCTTCAGTTTACTATAACTGTAATCCAAATAAGTAAAAAGAAAAGGTATATAACAACAAATTTACTATCTGTGCGCTCAGTAAACTAATGATTCAATGGCAAGGTAGGTCAAGATTAGGATGGCTTGATAATTGCTTATCTGCTTGTTTACAGAATATGCTATTTTTTTTTTAAACATCAAGCACCCCCAAACTAAGATAAATTAGAACAAGTTTATTAAGTTGACAAAGGCAAAAAAGTCTTCTATCTATTCATATTTAGTTCATTCAAAATGTCTATGAGACTAGGTATTATCCAACTTCATTTGGCAACTTCAGAAAATCTGGGAACTTTGTAGAAGTACCCAATTAGTTCAAGAATTTATGCTACAAAAATTCTTGCTAATAAAATGTATCCATGCACCTTTCCATATCTACTATTAGCTTGATTTAAAGACTCCAAAAGTGGCATTTAGTGGCAATTTGTCCCTTCAATGCTTTTTATATGAGTTATCTTGGTCTACCCCCAACCCATGGTTTTTACTTAAGGTTGGGGTACAGAGGAGATTAATCACCATTCTCATTTAATAGAGTTTGCCTAAAATGACTTGAGATTGCACATATCTGTATGAATGATGTATTACAAGCAAAACAAAAAGCATTTGACTTTGGAAGGCATTTCTAAAAATTTTATTTTTAAGTAAGAAAAGTTGACTCTCTATTAACCTAATGAAAATTCCTTACCCACTCAGACTCATATTCAGTATACTGTAAGTCAGAATGAACATCTTTCTCTCAAAATCTATATATGATCTCAAAACCCTGGATATATTACTATATGGTGCTAAACTCAATAAACTAAGTGTACATATATGACTAGATAATTAAGAACAGGTTATTGGAATCACATGATGGCTACAAACTGGAACTGATAAAACCTACTTGTAAGAAAGACAGCACAATGAAATCTTTTCATATACACTTACAGTTCATATGGTCCAACTCCCCCATGGTCCATGCTTTCATTTAACTGACCCTGAAAAATGTTAAAGTTTTAAAAATAAATAATCTCATAAACATAGAATCAAAATACTTAATGCTTCACCCTACTACTAAAGGAGAAATGAATGAAATAAACCAGCTTAAAAATTCTCCATACTTTAATAACCAGCAAATGTGGTGATGAACAAAATAAGGTACATGATACCACAGGGATTTCACTTTTAATTTTCTATGACAAGCTACAGATGCTACTGATCAATGATCTACAAACTAGGTGATAGCTCCTTTAAAAATTACATTTATTCAAAAGATGTATTTTGTGTATTATGAAACTAAAGGCACCAGATTCTAAGTATGAATTACTAAATCAAATGATTTACAAAAAGTGCTGTTCTGAATATGATTCTGATACACAAGACTAACATAACAGGTAACTACAACCTAACTAAGCCTACAGTAACCACAACCAGTCCAAGATACTGTAGTGTGTTATGTGGCTGATCAAAGCAAAATAATTAAGCAGCACCCTCAAATTGTCAAGAGTTACGTTGGCCAAACATTTTTATTCTGACCATAGTATAAATGGATGCAAAATTTAATTAACTTTCTGTACACTAACAATGAACAATTCAAAAATGAAATTAAAATAACTGTTTGCAATAGCATCAATAATAAAATAGCATCAATTAGAAAAAATTTAACAAAAGTGTAAGACTTATACATTTGATAACTATAAAACATTGCTGAAAAAAATTAAAGATCTAAATAAATCAAAAGACATTCCACGTTCATGGATCTGACAACTTAATATTGTTTAAGATGGTTCTACTAACCAAACTGGTCTAGAGATTCAACTCAATCCTATCAAAATCCCAGGTTCCTTTCTTACAGAAATTGACAAGCTGACCATAAAATTCATACAGAAATGCAAGGGACCCAAAATAGCTAGAACAATTTTTGAAAAAAGGAGAACAAAGTTGGAAAACTGACATTTCCTGATTTTAAAGTGTATTTACTACAAAGCAACAGCAACGAAGACAATGAGGTACTGGGATAAGGACAGACATATAGTTCAATGAAATAGAATTAAGAGTCCAGAAATAAACCCTTATATTTATGGTCAACTAATTTTTGACAAAGATGCCAAGAAAATTCAATGGGAAAGAGACAGTCTTTCAATAAATGGTGCTAGGACATTTGGATATCCACATACAAAAAAATTACTTTGGTCCCCTACTTCACACCATATTCCACCACACTAAAAAATTAACTTAAAATTCATCACAGGCCTGGGGTGCCTGGCTAGCACAGTTGGTTGGACATCGAATTCTTGGTTTGGCTCTGGTAGTGATCTCAGGGTCATGGGATTGAGCCCTGCATCAGGCTCCATGCTTAGCACAGAGTCTGCTTGGGATTCTCTCTCCCTTTCCCTCTGCCCCTTCCCACGGCGTGTACACATTCTCTTTCTCGCTGTCTCTCAAATAAATAAATAAATCTTGAAAAAAAACTGATCAGGGCCTAAATGTAAGAGTTAAAACTAGAAAACTCCTAAAAGAAACCTAGGATGGAGTAAATATTCATCTTGGGATAGGCAATGATTTCTTAAGACACATCACCAACAGGCGCCTGAATGGTTCAGTCAGTGAAGTGTCTGCCATCAGCTCAGGTCATGATTCCAGGGTCCTGGGATCCAGCCCCATGTTGGGCTCCCTGCTCAGCAGGGAGTCTGCTTCTCCCTCTGTCCCTGCCCCCACTCGTGCACGCTCTCCCTCTCTCTCGATCACTCTCTCTCTCAAATAAATAAAATCTTTGAAAAAGACACATCACCAAAAGAACAAACGATTCAAGGAAAAAAAAAAAAAAACCAATAAACTGGACTTATTCAAATTTAAAACTTTTGCCCTTCAAAAGACATTATTAAGAAAGTGAAAAGAGGGCGCCTGGGTGGCTCAGTCATTAAGCATCTGCCTTAGGCTCAGGTCATGATCCCAGGGTCCTGGGATAGAGCCCCACATCGGGCTCCCCGCTCAGCGGGAAGCCTGCTTCTCCCTCTCCCACTCCCC